CTTGTATGAAACTTACCTAATCAAAAATATATAGATACAGGTATTGTTTTAACCCTTTGCACTCGAGGATTTTTTGGCTAAAGATGGGTACGAGTTGAAAAATTTACTGCCATAAGACTGATGATATTTTTCGAGCAGTAAATAAGAAATCGAATAATAATTAACACGTAGAATTATTTAATTTCAGTACCTCGCACACTGTTACGTTATTTTAAATTTGATATATTAATTAATATCGAGCTTCGAATTTTTTTCAAAATGGCGACTAAAAGGCGCCTCTCGAGTGCAAAGGGTTAACATTAAGTTTACGGACGCTATCTGTATACTTATTTCTAAGGACACCTGTCAAATTGACAGGTAAAGGAAACCACGTGCCTTTCTTTTTTAACGATTAGTTTAATTTAGAAACAATTATATATTATATTAACCCCGTGCATTCGACGGTCTTTTGGCTAGAGACGAGTAGAAATTTAAAGGTTCTCTACTAAAAAACTGACGATACTTTTTCGAGCAGGAAATAAAGAATTGTATAATAAGAGAATTGTAGAATTATTTGACTTCGATACCTCGCACACTGTTGCATTACATTAAATTTGATATATTAATTAATATCGATCTTCGAAATTTTATCAAATGGCGACTGAAGGGAGCCTCTCGAGTGCAGAGGGTTAACAGTCTTAATATAAGTTAATTAAATCTGTCACCGTCGTATAATTGAAACAACCTTTGCATCAAATTCACGGGTTCCGTAAATCTAGTGTTAATACACAGCTTTCCGCCATCTTTGGGGAAATTTAAATATTCCTCAACCTTTTCTCTTTTGCTTCGTTAAAATTGTGGATAAAAATGAACACCAATATCTTCTACGTTTTTTAATAGTTAACACAGTAGTATAGGAAATAATTCGCAACATAACGTTTGACTGATAATAAAATAATCAAACCTAACCTAACCTAACCTAAAGCTCGACTTATAATAAGATAATCAAACGTGTATTTTTATTTTTCCAAATAAAATATTTAATTCGTTACACTTTTCACGTATGACTGGTTCCTCCAGCATGTATTTTTCGCAAATTTTTGGCGGATTATGCAAGTTTTAGTGGTTTTATTACCAGTGCACGATCTTATTTGGCATCTTTTTCGTGATTGAGAATTATTGCTTGGGTTGCTTGATGTTCTTTCTGTGGATAGAATTGGACACCAATATCTTCTACACTTTTTTAATAGTTAACACATTAGTATCTTTATTTTAAACAAAAAATTGATTAACACTTTCTGGAAAATTCTCTCTCTCTATCTCACTCTTATTAACTATTATATACCCATGTTTCCTCTTTGACGATTCACATATTACTGTTTTATTCTGACACATTCTTCTAAACATTTCTTCAAACATCATTCATACTAAACTGCATTGGGGCATCATCTTAAATGTGTTTCTCTTATTCAAGATCATTCACATTCACCAGTTCATATAAAACCAACACTCACAAAAATAAATCAAATATAGAATTTATTCAATCGCAAATAGCTATAAACAATAATGACATTCTTCTTGCAGAATTAATCCTTTGCACTCGACGATTTTCTGGCTAAAGATGAGTAAGAGTTCAAAGATTATCTTCTATAAAGTTAACGATATTTTTTCCAGCAGTAAATAAGAAATTGTATAATAATTAACATGTATAACTATTTGATTTCTATACTTTGCATACCGTTACATTATCTTAAATTTGATATATTAATTAACATCGATCTTCGAAATTTTATCAAATAACGATTGAAGGGAGTCTCTCGAGTGCAAAGGGTTAATAAAACCCGTGATTAGCCACTTGATCGTGAAGGAATTGATTCAACGTGACTGAGACAAACTGAAAATGAATAGGACGTACTGAAAATAGCTACTCGAATTTATTCCCGCGCAAAGAGTACCGAAATCGACGAAATCTCACCCCTGATGAACGCACCCAAGAAACATTACCAAAACCTGCTGCGCGAAGACACGATCTCCACTTGCAATCCGCTTCTCCAGAACCACCCACCACCCATTACCCTGTATGAGCACGTTCGTAAACCACCCCGTGTACACGTTGGCACAAAGCACGAGGAACGTGGCGTGACATCGAAGTAGCGGATAGGAAATTGAGCAGCACGATGACGATCAGCGATTACCGCGGGGCCACCGTGTCCTCCAGCGCCACCTCACCCTCGTTCTCCGGCCGCCATTAAGGTTTCATCAAGATGACGACGCGGTGTCGCGGTATCGCCGTGATGCATGGTTCCTCGAAGGGGACCGGCTCCCGCGAAACAGGACGAAGATATATACGCGTGCGACGCGGACGTATGCTAATTGCCGGCGCGGCGACCGAAGGACTGGGGCACAATTAACCCTTCGTTTCATCGGGGCCACTAATCTGCGGCCGCGTCCCGATCGAAGTATCAGCGGGGGGACGCGTTTCCGATTAACCGGTTGCAGGCGTGATGGACGCGGCCGCGGGTTATGGGGCCGCGTGGGGAACGCTTGACGTGTGGCTTCGTAGACGCGTTTCGGCGGTTAAGATTTGTCGAGGAAACGGGGTGAGGTGCGAGGGAAACGGGTCGGTGATTAATGGTGGATGCTTTGATTAAGAGGAAACTTCGTTTTCGAAATTTAACTCGTTTTAGGTGCTTTGTCGTTGATCTTGAGGGTCGTTGGCTTTTGGGTGTTTGAAGATGTGGATGACGAGTGGGGGGTGTTAGGTTAGGGTCATGGTTGTTGGGATTAACACGTTGACCCCCACCTCGAAAAATACATCGAACACGATTATACAACTTTCCTTATCTGTTGTGTAGAGATGGGAGGGGCAACAACAACACACGAATAATACTAAAACTATTTATTAATCCTAACAACACGTTTATATTCGCAACACTAATACACCTTTTTTCACAACTCTCTCTCTGAACTCTCCTATACTACACGTACCGCGACCGACTCCTCACCCTCTCTCTCTGTCACTGACTGACTGTGTCCACTCACGCCCTTGCATCCCTATTTAAAACCAACTGATATATTCAAAACAGTCGCGCGTTTGCAGCAGCGAGGGAACTGCAGAGACATAAAATCTTGCTGGAAGAAAGGGAAAAGAGCCAATAATACGGGTCACTATTCTCCAGTTACTTCTTTTCCGCCATTTTCCCCCTTCATCCGTCATCTTTATCTTCTCCCGCTCTTTTATAATCCTGCCTGAAACGCCTGATCTCTCCAATCTCATTCCATCTCCCTTCTGCCTCCCTTGCCCCCTTTTTCGCGTTACTTTTCCGCTGGATTTCCTCCCTTTCTTCATCCACCCTCTCTTTCTCACCCTGTCTGTCCCCTCTCCCTGCCTTGGCTCGCTTAAGCACCGTCTAACATTCTAATCGATCCGGCAGTAACGAGTCCTGTAAAATTAGATCCCGGACGATTCGCGAAGGATTCGCGGACCAGGTCAAGTAGGATCGCGTTACGCAACGAGGCTTTTGTCCTCGATGGCTGGCCGAGGCTCTTAACGAGATTCTCGAGGTAGGTCGGCAGTTGATTCCACGGTTGGAAAATAGTAAGAGCAAATATGTTCGCGACCAGTTCGCTGCTTTTTGTTCAGCATTCGTTTCCTCGATGCTTGATGATTGTTACGCGACCTCTGTTACGTTTCACTCTCTGCAAAACACTCTGCGATACACGGGTGTTCCTTCGAATCGTCTCGTCGCGTACATCGCAATCTACCAGGGAAAACAAACAGAGGTGACACGACCGTCGAAGACACGCTTCGACCAGCCAGTCGAATCCAGAACGTCCAGCTCGACACACACGACACAGTTCAGACGTTATTCTCTCTTCCCTGTATCAAGGTGAATAGAAAATTACAATAAAGACAATAGATTTAGTCTACATTTGTAAGAGATCACGTAAGAAAATTGTCGTACGATACAGAGTACTTGTTATTTTATTTATCTCGTAGGATTTCTGGCTAAATTTATCCTATGCAGACAGAGATCTGCGTGTCTAACAAACAATAACTCTCTTTTTCTATCAAAACAGGTTTTATTTAATTAAAATATTACGCTAAGTCTCTCACACGTCTCAACTCAAATCTGCCTGCTTCTGACTTCTTCTCGATTCTTCTCAATTCTCAACTCGATTCTGACTGCCTGGCGCTCTTGCATGCTTACTCAAAGCCAAATCTGTCTCTTTCCATACACGTGCTTTCCTTCTCGATCATTCGACACAGTCACAGACATCCCGACAAAGGATTTCGCGCTATCGTTTGTTCTTTCGCGTCGGGTCCGATGCCGCCATTTGCTATTCCTCGCTTTTTGAGAAACCGCCCAAACGTTTCCATGCACTCCCTTGGAATTAAGACCGCACACTCTTCGTCTCGCTACTACTCTTAATACGTTGTTAGTGTCCTTCATCGCTCGCCATCTTACAATCTTCGTTTGCTATATTGGACAGATTGGATGTATTATGAGAAATTGGGAATCAGGGAATTCGATGAAAAATTGTCGACGTTTCTATATATGTAGGATCGGGGTGGGTGGATTGGCTAAAGTAACGTTGCTTTACTGCTTCTTAAAATACAATAAACATACTTATTGGCTACGAAACTGGAGACCCGCTATGGGTACGCTTGACTTCTACTGCTTTCTACTGCTTTCTACCCAGGCTTTCCTTTGCAATCATACTTCTTTCCTTCGCAACCTCGGTGGGCGCGGTACCTTCAAACACTCTGCACGCATATCTAATATTTCACTGTAACCTAAACATTCATTGAAATCGATCCTCTTGCGCGCGGTCTCTTTCGTTCTGGGTCCAGGCACACCTGCCACTCTTCCAGGGCCGTACTTATTCCAATCCCACATATATGTTATTCAGGTTCAGGAGTCTAGAAATTTATCGGAACGCGTTTGTAATCGGAGGAAGAAGTAAGAATTTGTATTTGGAATGAAATTTATTAACAATTATATTTCGAATTGTTGCAGGATGCTGAGAACAAGAAGAGCGAGAAGAAAGAGGTCGTCGGGCCGCCTTTACAAACCGCGTCTGTCAGCGTGAGAGCACTCATCGAGGAGAAGATTATACAGAAAAGAACGACTGGTAAGTCACGTTTAAAATTTTAATTCATTATTTCGAACGAAACAAATCCCACGGATAGGGAAATTATACTAAGCGCCATTGAAAAATCGGAACTTCGAATGTGGTCGGAATTAAATTAATTAATTAATTAAAAATAAACACTGGGTGACTTGATAGGAGTTAGAGAAAATTCGAAATATCGATACTGGAGGTATAAAATGATTCATTTTCGATGAGAATCGAACGAGGAAAGGGGAAAATGATACCGTGACAGTCGATGGTCATTTTTCGCATGATTCATAGATAGGTTAGACGTGGAATAGCGACACAGATGTTAAACAATGTGGAAATTGGAAGAGTCCATGGGGTACGAATACGATTTCGATGATTTATGTGGCCTGGAACGTATCCGGTTGGACTAGGTCTATCTTTCTTCCTTTCTCTCCCTCTCTCGCTCTCTCCTCTGTCATCTCCACAGGTACGTTTCGCCAAGTATAATCATAAGGAGCAGACCGAGTTATATTAACTGTCGAGTTACGTTAACTTTCCTTTAGACACATTCAGCAGTCTAACGTGACATCTGGTTACAGAGAGTCTGTCGCTGAGGTGCTCTGTATACACTCGCGAGTACTTAAGACCGGAACTATGGCATCTTGGACGATGGTGGAATTCATTCGCGAATTATAACGAGGAAATAACAACCGAAATTACAAAACGCGTTTTCAACGCGAACCTACCGAGTGACCGAGTTTGAACTTTTAATTAAAAATCTTCCGCTCGATCTTGTCTCTTTCGTGGCCTGATTTCACCAGCCTTCTTACGGCGTATAACCTATATAAACTTTCGGTAATGTACAAATACAATTTATGGAAATTAGTCGGGAGATGAAACGGGAGACGTGACAGGCTGTGTGGACGAAATGAATGTTTGGTATATAACGAGATTTTTTATCATTTATCCTTTGAAGTTCCTATAATTTTTACTACCCCTGGTAAACAAATTTTCGAGCATAGGCAATACTATGAAATTATCTGAAATTACGGGAACATAAAACGGAGTGTTAAATGAATATTGTATAAAATAGAAGCAAAATATATATATATAATAATTGAGTTTGAAATAATTGAGTTTGGTTAAAAATTTTTTACCAGGGGTAGTTGTAGGTCAGGAAACAAAGAGTACTGTCCTGGCTGCCATTGCTAAACTCCTTAACTAAATATTCCCTGTTTTCCTCGATACGCCCCATACAGTGAATTTTATCATATATATTGGGTTGTCCGGAAAATTCGTGCCAGTTTTGAGGAAAAATTGGAAATGCACTCGGTTTTCTTGCATATTCGAAGGCGTATGAAATTGGCAAAAATTAACGTATCGTATTCAAATTTCTTTCCAAATATGTCGTATCTGAAGTACCGTCTTTATATTCACATGTCATTTATTTTCAATCGTTTTCTTACGCCATTTACCAAAAATCGGCACGAACTTTCCGAAGAACCCAATACATCTTCTCATTCTTATATTATATTTTATTTCCTTTGAGATTCCTATTTGTTCTCTTTCATTTACCAGGATTGATCATTTCTCCGTGACGTATTTTCTATAAAATACCCTAAACACCTTACAGAAAGGTGCTTGATTTATTCAATATATTTGATTCCACTAAAAAGGAAAGATTCCATTATCTAATTCACAGAATCCATCTATATCTTCTTATTCCTATATTATATTTTATTTCCTTTAAGATTCCTATTTGGCCTCTTTGATTTACCAGGGTTGATCGTTTCTTCATGATACCTTTAGTATGAAATACCCTAAACACTTTACAGAAAGGTGCTTGATTTATTAAATATATTTTATTCAACTAAAAAAGGAAAGATTTCATTATTTAATTCACAGACTCCATCTATATCTTCTTATTCTTATATTATATTTTATTTCCTTTGATATTCCTATTTGCTCTCTTTGATTTTCTAGGGTTGATCGTTTCTTCATAACTCATTTAGTATGAAATACCCTAAATGCCTTACAGAAAGATGTTCGATTTGTCGAATATCGCATTTCATTCGATTGAAAAAGAGACTGGCAGCGCGTAATTCGCAGCATCCACCCCCTCCAAACGTCATCAAAAATTTCCATCGATCCGCGAAGCAACACGCGCTGGCAATTCCCAAGCCAAAATTTCCGCGAATCCCCAAAAACGAAGCGCGAGATCTCCTTCCTGGAATAACAGCGAGGCATTTCGTAACCTCGCAATCAACGTTGGGTCCAGAGGGTTGTTTCCGCGGGCGAAATATTAATCCGATCAGGATCGGTGGGCGAACGCTGAGAGCAGAAAATTCGTGGGCTCGATTCCGATGATTCATGCGATCCAGGACGTATCTCGATCCGACCGTATCTCCTCTCCCGCCGTTTCTCCTTGCCCGTTTCGCGCGGAGGCCGCGTGTACATTTGCCAGAACCTCGCGCGATATTCCAGCCAGCGAGAAACCGCGCCGCCTCCTCTATGGACTGCCGAAGAATCGTGATTTACGAAGCGAGCACGCCAGAATATTTCTCGCATTGTCCACGTTCGAGCGATAAATCAAGCCGCGCCGCGATGGCCCTGGGTGGCGGCTGGGAGCCGCGCTTTTGTAACAAAGTGCGCGTCGTTAGCGATTTATGCGCTATTTCGCTGCTGCCCACTGCCAAGAGCTGCGGCAGATCAAACTCTGGCTCCTTTCGCGCCGATTCTTCCAACAAACTGGTCCCCGTTCTTGCGAGAGCTACTCTGCTTGCGTTAACCATTTGCGCTGGAAACACGTGCCTCGCACGTCGTAGCGCTTTTGTCGCAGAATCGCCAACGACGTGGTACACACGTCGTCAGGCAATTGTCACGGAAACGTTCTGGCACACGCGTTTGCGAATTTCTTACCACCGCAAGTAGTTAACGGGGTTCAGTCGACGTCTTCCAAGGGTGTCGTCAGGGATGACGTATCTCGTGTCTCGTGTCTTGGGGGTGAGTGACGGTAAAGGAATGGGTTTCCTCTTATGCTTTATGAAATTTTGAAAACAGGAATTTTCAGGATTCGCAGCTGCACGATAATGCTTCGGTGGTAATCGAGAAACCTAAATTGCGCAAAGAAAATCGTATCTCTTGAAATTCGAGTCATTGGCAGGGGATGGAAACGTATCAGAGGAGCCTGTCTTTGAGGATCTTGTATTGAGGTTGCTCTACTGGTGTATTTGGTATGAAAAATACAATAGTCTGATTTAGAATAGGTGAGAAATAAATTCTTCAAAATTTGGTGTCATGGAAAATAAAATTCTGCAAATTACAACGTTACTCTCCCCAAAAATTATCGGGACAATTGATATTATCGGGATTGTCGGGACAAGGAGACAATTCTAAACGCAATTATCCACCATTGAGAGCCAAACTGTCCAAAAATACCATATCTAAAAGAAGTTCGGAATTGATAACTAAACCACGCTAAAGAGACTAAATAAAAGACGTTAAAATTTACGTAAAATAGTAATCGCAAAATTTCGAGTCCTGCCACCACGAATTCTGCGAATCCGTTGACAATAAAGTATCCCAATAGTCGAATATTATTTTTTAAAAATTCACCAACCATAATAAAAATGCACAAAGGTGATCCAGTCCAAACATCGATCGATAAATAATTAGCAGGGTTGTCGATACTTCGATGCAATTAGAGGGTTTCCAGTCGAGTTACTCGTCAACGAAATGTTGGATGTTTGGTCAGTGACTCAGGAGGAACTGCACCGAAGAGCGCGATGGCGGCCATCGACGCGCGAACTCGATTTTCAAATCGGATTTGCGGTCCTTGGCCTCGACTTGTTTCGAAATACACTCGACCGTTGATTTTTAGGGCGAAATTTAATCGGTTATTTCGCGCGGATCGTAATTTTGTTTAATTTCGTTTGCACGTTTGTTTATCGAACGGATTATTAACGGGCGAAGTTATTAATTTCGTTGTGTAAGTTTGTTTACCGGACGATGAATTACTGTTTACGGTTTCACTTCTTTGTTTTAATACGTTCGCTGCTTATGGCTTTTTCATTATTCATACCGTGTGTTGGTATATTTTAATGCGTTTGTTTTTTGCATTGCAAAATTTTATTCGCGCGAATTATTACGCGAGTTTCGTTTTTAAATTTCCGACATTTAATTCGCATCGTGGTCAATCGTATCGTGAAATTCTATGGTGTCTCGTAGTGAAGCCTCATGGTGTTAACTCTTTACGCTCGACGATTTTTCGGCTAAAGAAGGGTACGAGTTGAAAAATTTGCTGTTATGAGGCTGATGATATTTTTTGAGCAGTAAATAAATTATTATTTAATTTCGATACCTGGCACACCGTTACATTATTTTAAATTTGATATACTAATTAATATCGAGTTTCTAAATTTTGTCAAATGGCGACTGAAAAGCTCCTCTCGAGTGCAAAAGGTTAATGGGCATTCTGCGTCTGACTAATCGTTGATCTGTATCACTTATTCCGACTTCATACGTGTAATTGTTACTTAACTGTCACAGAATATTTGTAGAGAATATCAATAACTTTTTACCAATCCTGAATGACTCTTGATCCACTTTTAAATCGACATTCTACTGATTCTTTTACTTTATTTATTATTCGACATCGGATCCTGTTGTTAGAAAATCTTGTTACATTTCTTCAACTTATATCAATGGTACTCAACATCCAGTTCTATCACTGGATAAAACCAGTCATACCCTCACACGAGTGTCATATATTGAACTTCGTGCAACAGAAAATACAAGCAGACTCTGTGAAAATAAATTACAATTGCACATTGAACGACATGAATTTCCAAAGAAAACCCATCTCTCTTTACCCACCATCGTTGCATTCGTTTATTATTAAAACTACATTTTATACCCTTTTATACCTCTCGAATTATCGAACCGTTCGCATCAAACGCCCTATTCACCCCCCGTTTCCCCCCCTCCCTCTCTCTCCCTGCCCGAACAAAAACAAAAAGGAAAAAATTCAT